CTACATTCTTAACACTTGGAATTGGACTTTAAAGTTTACTCTTCTTTCGAGCCAAGATCTAGAAGTTATTTTGAGCTCTTCCTTTATCCAAACAGTTACTGAACATTATTTTGCTCCACCCTTTCCAGCTCATAATCACAATTAGTGGAATAAGAAAAGGAAGAAGAAAAGGTAAAATCCATTCCACTTCAACCCATGAAAGATCATGAGTTTAGAACTAGAATTCTACCTACAGGATAAGCACAAATGTTCAAATAATTGACAGCAACCAAAATAATTACCTCTACTAACTATAAAGCATAGAATGTATTTTGGATTCAGGATACCATAAATACTGTACAAAAAAATAAAATATAATGATAACAATAAGATGAGTGAAAAAGTTGCCAAATTTATCACATTGTCTCCATTTTCTTAATCTTACAGTTTGACTAAAACCATTCCTTATCTCACATTCACACAAAATATATAAGAAGTTTTAAAATAGAGGAGAAAATGAAAAACAGAAATAGTGAAAGCATATTTTTTTTCTTTCATTGTCTGTCCATTCCTTCTATTCCTTTTGTCCAGGCACTGCTTTTCATCTAGTGCTACTCAGGAAGTGTCATCATTCACCTTGTTAATTTTCACAAACAGCTCAACAATCCTTTCCCCAGGTTGAAGTTCAAGGTTGTATATCTGATTTGTTTGCAATTTAGGGATAGATACGATCACTTTACCACCAACTGACTTTGAGCTAACAACATCAAAAGAAGACTCTATTTCAAGATTCCACTCCCGGGCACTGTTATCTAAAGCATAAAGAGAAAAAGAAAAATACATATATTAAATCATAAGCATTATCCCTGCACTCCTCAGAACTCATCTCTAAACCACCCAGTGCCAACTGGGTACAGTAGCTCACACCTATAATCCTAGCACTCTGAAGGCCAAGGCAGGTAGATCACTTGAACTCAAGAGTTTGAGACCAGTCTAAGCAAGAGCAAGACTCCATCTCTACCAAAAATAGAAAAACAAGCCAGGCATAGGGGCGCACACCTATAGACCCAGCTACGCAGGAGGCTGAGGCAAAAGGGTTGGTTGCTCAAGCCCAGGAGTTTGAGGTTGCTGTGAGCTATGACACCACAGCACTCTACCCAAGGTGACAGAGTGAGACTCTGTCTCCAAAAAAAAAAAAATCCCATCAATTGCTCCACTATGCTGTCATAATCAAATGTTCGCTTTTTTATTTGGCAGTTTTTGGCCCAGCGCCCTACTCCTTTGAGCCACAGGCGCCGCCCATAATCAAATGTTTAGTGAAAATTTTCTTTTAATCTTTAGAGTTTAATCCTTATTCTGAAGAAGAATAACCAAAATTGCACATTTTATATAGACTTCCACTCTAAAAACTTTGCAAGTCATAAAAACTTTATAAACAGGACATAAACGGAAAATGGCAAATGGAAAGTTAACATAAATTTTCCAGGAAGATACACATTTGCTCCTTTTGATAAGGTAACAGGAAAATATTGAGGCTTTTAAAGCTACAGAATAAGCTATAAATGTATAGGTATTAGAACTAATCAAACGTGAAAAAATAGAGATGCATTCTAAATTCTAAATGTAGCTAATTCATGCAAGAAATGTTTACTGTGCCATGTGCCTCACCAACTGCCAGGAATTAAATGGTGACCAGGTTAGACATGGACCCTACCCTCATGAACTCAAAGTAAATGGAATATAGATAAGTACAAAAGTGCAATGATACCAGGAGGAGAGAAATAGAAGGCTGTTGAGAAATATACATGTGAACTATGGGAGCATTTCTAACAGAGAGGGTAAGGAAGGCTTTTGTTATAAAGCAGCGTCTAGCCGAAACCAGAGAGGGTCTCAGCCAAGCCCGGAGGAAGCTGACGAGTATTCTGGGCACAGAGCAGGGAAGGCCCAGGAATGAGTGAGAGCAACCCCATAACAAAGAACCTGGGGCAAGGACGAAGCCAGGATGGGGGGCTGCATGACGGACGCTCAAAGCAGGGTACAGATCACACTGGGTCTTTTAGGTTAAGTGAGAAGTTTGGCAGTTTCACCCGATCAATGGGGAGTCACTGAAGATTTTTCATCAAAAAAGAGTAACATGATCAGATCTGTAAGAATCGCTAAGGGCCCAAGCACAATGATATACCAGTATGCATACAGAAAGAAGCAGAAAGACACCAAATCTCTATCTGTGCAAAAAGATGTCAAAAATGGCACTTGGAAAATCCAGAAACAGAGAAGAGGCAAAGAAAAGGGGCAGTCAGAGAGAAGGTAAAACAGCACAGAAGGAGAGGGTGATAGGGAAAAAGAAAGGTCAGGGAGCTGCCATGAGGATGGAGCTTGGGTATGGAACTGGGGAGTAGGGCAGAATATTCCACGAGAGCTTGAAAGTAGAGTTTTATATATGTGCAACATAACCCTTTCTTCCACCTCCTATAAAATTTACATTGTTTGAGGTCTCTGGAATTGGATTTGTGTTTGATTTTGATTTTCAAATAAGACAGAGTGCTAAGACAAAATCTGGGCAAAAGCTTTTTTAGGTTACATTAAAGGAACTAGTGATGAGACCCAAAAAAGGCTGGAGAGACAGGGGAGTAGAGCCAGCAGTGAAGGTTCTCATTCTTTACTGCCACAGACAGGAAGAAGAGCAGTGACTCATGCAGATATGCTTCCGTTTGTACCATGTGGGGCAAGACCTGGAGGGAGTTCCTGTGTAACAGCGTCTACCTTCCTCTCTGAAGGGAGGTTCCTGTGTAAACAGCTTCTACCTTCCTCTCTGAAGGGAGGTTCCTGTGTAACAGCTTCTACCTTCCTCTCTGAAGAAGGGGAGGGAGAAGGTTATCAGTTGATAAATATCTCACGGACCCTTCTCCTACAAAGAAAGATAGGATGGATAATCATGGCTTTGCTGCAAAAGAAAGAATCAAAAAGACTAACAAGCTGATTGATGACCAAAGACTTTGTAACTGGCCCTGCTCACAACTAGGGGACCACACCAGGCCTGCTCTAAAGATGGTCACACACAAGCTCATCGTTTGCATCTCCCATCAGCCAAAAGCACAGGTGGATTTGAGGCATACCAAAGTAAAATTAACCCTGGACTTAAGAACTGTTTTTATTTACTAACTAATTAATTCTAAGAAACAATAATCAACAAGCCCTGAATTAGGTTTGTTCTGATCCAGCCACTCTTGCAGGTTACCCACTCATAGCCTCCAGGTTTTGAATCTATCAGCTGATGGGTCACCAAGTCTACTCTCTCACCAGTGTTTGATTCCTTTTGCTTAACGGCAAACTATGGTTACTGGGCCTAAACTTTTAAATAAAGTTTTCTTAGAACACAGCTGCTATGAACTAAATGGTATCCTTCCTCAATTCATATGTTAAAGGCTTAATACCCAGCTTATTATGAGGTAACTAAGGTTAAGAGATCATAAGAGTGGGGCAGTAATCCAATAGGACTGTGGCTTTATAAGAGGAACGGCCCTCTCCTCCCACCCCCCACCATGTGAGGACACAGCAAGAAGGCAGTGGTCTGCAAACTGGAGAGAGACCCCTCTCCAGGAAACTAATTGGCCAAGCACTTTAATCTTGGACTTTGCAGCCTCCAGAACTGTGTGAAATCATTTCTGTTATTCAAGCCACCCTGTCTATGATAACAAAAGTTAGGGCAGTCCAAACAGATTAATAAAACAGCCACATTCATTTGTTTACGTATCATCTTTGGTTGTCTTTGCACTAGAACAGCAGAGTTGTGCAGCTGCAAAAGATGCCATATGGTCCCAAAGGGCTATGTCGGTGTGCTGATCCCTGCCCTAGAATATTCCCCAAAAGGCCATTCTAACCAAGACAACAAACATGTGCCTCACAAAATAGCCTTCCCATTTTTGCTAGACTCAGCCATTCTAAAGACCTTCTTTACACTGATTTGAAATTGACTTCTCTTTAATTTCTACCTAAAGATTTTAATTCTGCCCTCTGAGCACCTACCAAACAAGCAGGCTCCTTTGCTGTCATTTCCTCTTCTGTTAGAGAATCACCTATTAGTGACAGCCTCTGGCAGGAAAACAACTGGTGCAATTCCCAGAAGTCATTGGCAAAATTCTCTAATTTCCCTTGCTTTGAACATGGAAGGTTCCCAAGTAAACCCACACTCCTTTGGACCACAACTCTTGAGTATCACACGATAACAACATTAAAGTGGCAGAATTAAGAACAGCATGAAGATCCACGGGCCTACATTGTCACCACCATATACTACACCAGCATATTTTCACCCTCTTCTTTCAAAGGCATAAAGCCCTTCTTTCTAGCAGCACATGGGAAACTAAGTAGTTTAGGGTCACAAAGCACAGGGTCTTAAATGACCAGTAATTCTCCTAATAGTACTTGGTCACTTCTTTTTACTTACTATGTTTAAAATGCATAAATCCTATTAGTTAAGGAGAGATCCATTTAATAAATTAAGACCCATTTCCAGAATACAGATCCCCATTCCATCCATCTTAGCACTAGTGAGGTATCATTTCCTGAAAAACAACTTTCATCCCCAGCTCTCCTGAAGTGGAATGCAAGATCATTTCACACTTGGACAATGTGCTGGAGGCAGGAGTAGGAAAGAAGAAGGCTTGCTATGTCATCCAGATTCCTCTACAGAGCTCACCCTTCCCAATTATACCAACTTTTGCATCCTCGCCTCATCCTAACTAAATAATTCTAGGCTCAAACAGGTCAGAAACTCTTTATCAAAACAGGTATACCCTCTCTACAATGTGAGGCCCTCCCTAGCCTGAAGGACCAGGGATACCCTCACTGGTGTCCTGTGACCCACGCAGAAGAGATTATTGACTGCAGCTTGTTCATATAACCTCAACTAGCAAGCCCCCTCCCCACCCTAGGATGGCAGAAAATGTGATGCTGGACACTGATTCATTGTAAGGTTTTACCAGAGCTGACTAAGTGAAGTTTCTTTAAGAAAAAGGTGGGGCAGGGGAGCCAAGAGGCAGACCAGAAGCAGCCTGCACTTGCTGCTCTCAAGGGGAGGGTCAAAGGTTGTGGGTAGAGGTTCATTTGCAGAACGGCCATCTCGGAGACAGCATTATGAGATATAGGAGAAGTGAAGACACACACCAAAGTGGAGGAGAGAGGTGGGGTGATCTGTTCAGCAAGATCAGAAAGTAGCTGGGGGGAAGCATCCACATGTGGGGCTCCTGAGCTTCATAGAGGCTTCCCCAACACAGCAGGCCTCTGAACTAGTCAGGGAGCTGCTTAGAGACTGTGCAGCAGCATTACACTAGAGTGGGCACAGTGGGGTTCCACTGGCTTTTGACATTGGGTCACTGCGACAGATGCCATTCTGTGCTCTCAGCCCCAGAGTGCTCAATCTGCAGAGGGGAAGGCAGAAGGGTCATCTCCACTGCAGCCACCTCCCAATTGCCCTGCCTAGCCAGAGAGGGAGCAAGAAGGACAGGCCCTCGGATGTGCACTGTGACTGGATGCTGTGTACCCCCAGGTCCCCACTGGCCACCGCCCAGGTATCTGAGCAGAGCAAGTGCCCACCTGCTCTCAGCATCTGGCACTCACATTTTGCTACCTTGACAGCATCACCACAGCCACCTGAGTAGTATCATAGCAGCTGCCTCAGTTGGACCTGAGCAAAAGAAGCCACTGTGACTCCCCACATCTCCACAGCTCCACTAGCTACAAATGGCCCACCTGCTACGGCTCAACAAGCCACTCTGCCACTGGCTGCAGTCCCACAACCTGACCAGGCACC